TCTCTCTCTCTCTCTCTCTCTCTCTCTCTCTCTCTCTCTCTCTCTCTCTCTCTCTCTCTCTCTCTCTCTTTTTCTCGGCCTTCTTCTTCGTTGTGGTCTTCTCTGCAGGTGCGCGGCGGCTTCTCCAACCTTCAGGTTCGCTATGGCGAACTATGACTCTCGGCGGCCATCTCTGCTATGGCGCATCACTCCTGCGACACACAACTCGACCCGTGGGATAGCGGGTACCAGCTCCGATACCAATGAAATCAGACTCTCTTTCATTCACACTTTTCATGCATGTAAACAGTAGTGCAGCAAACTGGCGACATGCGCCCATTCAAAACTCAGAGATATGGCATCCAGATACGAGTTCACTTTCAATTGGCTATGGCGACTCAGCGCCCAAACAACTCACTGTTCACATACACCGGATCACCCTGGATACCCCGCACGCGACTCTCTGAACTCACACACACACACACACTCGCTACACACTAACTCTAGCTATGGCGGCTATGGCCGCATCTACCCTATTTCTATGCTACGCTCCTCCTGTCTCGCCCACTTCAGCTCCGGGCTCAGTGCAGACCTCCTTGCACGAGTCGCTGTGGCAGCGCTTCCGCATGGCTCACGCAGGAATGAATGAATGGYTGGGCGCTGCCTCTTGATTTATACTTCTGAAACTCGTTGGTCTGCCCTTTGCCATCGGCCCATGGTGCTCACAGTCCCTTGTGGTACTTGCTGAACCGGACTGGGACTGACAGGACCTTACCGCTGACTGAGTGGGGACCCACTGCTAACCTACCGAGGTCGTACTGCAATTGCACTGCAGTTAGTCCACCACTTGACTCACCACTTGCCCACTTGCCCACTTGCTGACCTTCTAGAAGGGCTACAGCTAGGACTTCTGGAACTCGCTAAGACTTCTAGTCTACAGGTCTACAGATCGAACCCTACGGACCTATGACAGCCTACCAACTGTTTACGAATACACAGGTCACAGGTTCAACTCTCGGGTCTACACCGGTACTGTGCACAGGTAGGGCAAGGTCTAGGGATCGAACCCTGGGATCTGCGTCTGCTACTGCAAAGAGGTGAAAACCGTTTCACCCTCACCAAAACCAAAATTTTATTGCAGATTCGGGGTCCTCTCGCCGAGCGCAGAATGACCCCGGTTTAAAAAAAAAAAAAAAAAAAAATTCTGGGCGGTTTTTTGTCCCGCCCGGTTTACCCGGGTGGGACCCCCGGGGCCCAGCCCGGCAGGGCAGGCCCGGCCGGGCGGCGTCATCACTCAGTTCTGAAATCCATTTTTTTGGAATCCCTCTTGCAGTTATCATTCTCCAACTGCACGTACTCTCATCTGAGTAATTCCAAAAAAAAAAAATTACTTCATTTTCGGAATTCTTTTATCAGAAAATCATTTGCGGTCTGCAAGTTCGAATTTTTTTCTCATTGATAATTTCGCTCTTCAAGGGAATTGGGGGGGGTACTGAACTTGCAAACGAACATTTTTTCTTTTTCTCGATTTTTTTTTGCAAAGTTCAAACTTTTCTCTTTTTGATTAGTGGCTCCTTATCTGGGCCATTTATCCCACCCCTCCCCACCTATGTTGTTGCCCCCTCTGGTCTTCTCTATCTCCCTCCGGGTACCCCCTGCGGCGGCATTGGTTAGTTGCCACGTCAGCAGGCCACGTCAGCAGGACACGACAGCAGTGACACGTCAGCAACCAGCCAACGCAGCAGCAGGTCACGTCAGTGCATGGTGCTCACCCGCTCAAAGACAAGCGGCATGGATCAGCAGCCAGGCGAGATTACCGAGGCCTATGAGGCCCGCATGCTGGACATGGTAGCAGAATTCAAGCAACGGGCAGCTGCGGCAACATCCGCATATAAGAAGGAAGATGAGGAAGCAGAGGAACAGCGTCGCCTCGCTGAACAGCAGCAACAGGCGGACGCTGAGGCAGCAAGGAAGGTCGCAGACGAACGCTTTCGACTATGCCGAGACAAACTCCTCGAATGCGAGGGGGATATCGAGGTGATCGCCGGCGAATGGGCAGTGGCTGCTGAAGAGGAGGGTGCCCCCCCTGCTGTGCGTGGCCTCGCAACCACAACCGAACATGTGAGCGACTTGGTCGCCACCTGTGCAGCACAGCAAGAGGACATCCTCTACATGGACACCCTGGTCTAGAAGCAGGTTCGACTTATCGACGAACTGCTTGACCGCGTACGCCGGCTGGAACAACAGCCTACAACAGCCACCCCCGTCGGACCCTCCAACTTGACGGACCGCGTCAACGTCTTGGAAATCGATGTTGAGACTCTCAAGGACGGCGCTCTAACGACAAATCAGCGGATTGACCAGCAGATTTGCGCCGCCGCAGCCAGTCCGACCACGACCACTTGCGAGAGCATCCCAAAGTTTGACGGCCTCCCGATCTTTTGCGATGCAATGAAGGCGGACCCGATCCCATGGTGACGCCAGTTCGAGTTGAAGTTGGACATTCACCACGTCATCAACCTGAACCAGCACACATACTTATACTCCCGCTCGGGAGGCGTGTGCCAGGCATGGCTGGACAATATCTTGTCCACGCACAACGTCGCAGTCTCCGAGCTGCATACGAAGATCGGCTGGGCTGATCTCAAGGCAGCATGGCATAAGCGGTTCCAAGTAGAGCCGCTCGAGCTTCAGGCAGCCGAGAAACTTCAACGGTTCTATCAGAACGACCTGCCAAGCACAGACTGGATAACCGAGTACCAACGCTTGGCGTCCACGCCCAACTTGTCGTCAACCTTCGTCGCCATCAAACACTTCTTCATCAGGAGGAGTTGTCCAGCGTTGCAGAACGCCTTGACACAAGTTGCGGAGACGCTCACCACAAGTGAGCAGCTTTTTGATAAAGCCTCGCAGATCATCGTGACGAACATGGAAGCCAAGAACTTGGGCCATTCGTCTGCTGCGGGCCAGGGTAGAAATCAGCATCGGCCGAAAGTGGTCGTGGTCGCAGCAACTACAGTGAGCCACCCTTCAAACGAGGCTTCCTCTTCTGAGGAAGAAGACAAATTGGCAGCCGCCCGGGATGGTGGCTGCCCCGCTAGAGGTCGAGGACGCGCCAACCGAAGACACACACCAATTCATCCCCCAAGGCTGGACCAGCAGCTCAAGAGCCTTCGACACATTACAGTATCTCAAAAGGCGTGTACCGCATCCGCACTAAGTACCAATACTGCTTGTGGTGCAACAGCGCGGTGCACGACACCGCAACATGCCCCACGGTAAAATCCCTTCGGGAAAGTGAGCACCTCCGAGAGTGATGCGGCTGCACTCTCGACGCCTTCGGAATCGGTTGCTTTGCGAGCGACCTCTCTTCATTCTGAGGCACATGCGGAAGTCGACAGTCCTCTCTTGTATTCTTATGAGGATTTGTTGCCCGACTCGTTCCTTCGCTGGGTTCTCAAGCTCAAGGACAAGATGTGTGTGCGGCTTCTTCTCCGTCTGGCAACAACAACAATGAATCGTCTTCAAGTGGTTCTTCAAGGGATTCGACATACGAGTTCAACATAGAGGTCTTGGACCCGTTGACGTCCGAGGATTTTGCATGGCTTCCTCTCCCTTCCACAAGCTGCTTGTCGAGACCACAATGCGCAGCACTATGCGCCCATCTCCACACATACTTAGCCTTCTATGCACCACCACCTTCGCC